ATGCTGCTGATGATGATGATGATGATGGTGGTGGTGGTGGTGGTGATGATGATGATGATGACGAGGAGGAGGAGGAGGCGGAGGAGGAGGAGGAGAAGGAAGAGGGGGAGGAGGAGGAGGAGGAGGAGGAGGAGGAGGAGGAGGTCAAGACCAGCCCGTGAACAAATGACGGCGGTTGGGAAGGGGGGGAGGAAGGGGGGAGGAAGCATCAGTCAGTAGGGACGGGGATCAGAAGAGAGACGAAGGAAGGAGCGAGGAGGAAGGAAACACGAGGAAAGGGAAGAAGGGAAGGGGAGGGGGGGGGGGGGGGCGAACTGCGGTGGGACGAGGCGTGCGGGAGCGAAGCAGGGAAGTGGGGGAAGGAGACAGAGCGAACGATGGGGGGGGGATGGGGCAAGGCAGCAGGCAGCAGGAGAGGCTCGGAGGGGGAGGCCAGGGCAGGGCACGGCGCGAGGCCGTGCTGCGTTGAGGCGGGCGGCGGAGGACGGGCGACGCCGAGGAGAGGCGGGGCGGCACCGCAGGGCCCCCCGGAGGCCTCGGGGGAAAAAAGCGGGAAACAAAAAGAGGGACAAAAAGTAAGAAAACAAAAAGGGGGGAAAAACAAGGGGGAAAGCAAAAAGGGGGAAGCAAACAGGGGGAAGCAAAAAGGGGGAAGCACAAAGGGGGAAAAAGTGGGAAGCAAAAAGGAGAAAGCAAAAAGGGGAAAAAAGTGGGAAAACAAAAAGGAAACAAAAAAACAAAAAATGCTGGCTCTTCCTCCCGGGCCGTTCTTGCCGGTCTTCGGGCCCGGCGAGGGCCTCCCAGGGGCCGAAGATTCGGGGGCGCCCAAGACGGGGGGCGATGACTAGGGGGGAGGGTTCGGATGGCATGGCCGGGGCCACGCTACCTGCCCGGAGTGCATGGCCCTTTCTTTGCTGTTTCGCTGTTCCCTTGGCGCCCCCTGGGCCGCGCAGGTGCCTCCGGCCATGACCTGCGACCCCCCCCCTCGTGGACGCCCCCCCCCCGTCGTGGACGCCCCCGAAGAGGAACAGACAAAACGTCCGCCGGGATTTTTTCCCGCGGCGCGGACGACCACCGCCACGGCGAGGAGGGCCGTAGAATCCGCGACGGCCGAGGCCGCGGCCCCCGGGGGCGCGGCCCTCCTCGCGGGCGGCACGCGCCGAGCGTGTCGGCGCGCCCAGGACGAGGGCGACCTCGACGACGAGGAGGAGGAGGAGGACGCGGCGAGCGAGGACGACCTCCTGCCGACCTGGGAGGGGGTGCCCAAAGGCGGGAGGGGGCGGGGCTGCGACCGCTGCCCGCTCTCCCCCGCAAAGGGGGGGGGGAGGGGGGCGGCTCGGCGGAGGGACCCCCGCGGCCCAAGGGGGGGCGCCTCCGGCCGCGTTGCTCGCCCTGCTCTCCTGCTCCTGCTCCTGCTCCTGCTCCTCCTCTTTCTCTTCCACCTCCTCCTCCTCCTCCTCGTCCTCCTCCTTTTCTTCCTCGTCCTCTTTTCCTCGTGGTCCTGCTCCTGCTCCTGCTGCCCCGTTTTCCTTCTCCTCCTCCTCCTCCTCCTCCTCCTTCTCCTTCTTCCCCTCCTCCTTCTCCTCCTCCTCCTCCTCGTCCTCCTCCTCCTCGTGTTCCTCCCCCTCCTCCTTCTCCTGCTTCTCCTCTTCCTCCTCGTTATCCTCCTCCTCCTGCTCCTCGTCCTCCTCCTCGTCCTCCTCCACCTCCTCCTTCTCTTCATTATCCTCCTCCTCCTCCTCCTCCTCCTCCTCCTCCTCCTCCTCATCATCATCATCATCATCATCATCATCATCATCATCTTTCATGTTCCTTCTCCTCTTCGCTCACATAGGAGGGGTCGCTGCTGTTTGGCCCGAGCGTTGATACGGATCCGTACAGTGTACGGAGGGTTTAACCTTGCTTCCAACATCTTATTGCCGCCATGCTTTCTGTCGTACAGCTTCCAACCTCCGCAATTCTAGTCGGCATCGGAGTTGGGAGCGATCCCAGCTCGCGGTCCACGGAACGTGCGTAGATTGCGAGGTGGACGCGCGTTCGCCTTTACTTTCACCTCCGCATCGGTGCCACCCTCCATTCGTTGAGTAGCCTGTGTTATGGTTTTAAAGCTAACCAGAAATGAGCTTCGGACATCCAGTCCGAGTGCGAGAGCAACAACAGTAGGCGTAACCGCGATGAGGAGCGACTCGCCCACAGGAGCGCCACAAGGTTCATCGACCCATCGCAACCCCACAGGCACTGGTCCCAGCTTCGCGTCGGGCATGCCTGCGAGGTTCCTTCCTGGGCTTGCGATATTGTTGGCTGTGCTTGGGGCAGATCGCATCACCCGGGTGGAACATTGCAGAGTATCGTGCCAGTTTCACCGACGTCGGGTTCGACCAAGGTTGACAACACCATCATCATTGCTGCCCCGCACTTCGACATGGCGTTCGTCCCTGCGCAGGCCCAGGGCCCCAAGGCGCCTACGCAGCCATCGTCGTGGCGAGGTCCTATCGAGGAGGATATCCATTTTGACACACTGGGGCGGCATCCTCGTGTTCTTCGTGGCCGTCCCGTACTGGTGCACCGGCAGGGTGCCTGGTGGAGCCGGCCCACAGGGCGGCGGATGCCGCTGCGCCATCACATCCCCGCAGCCGCGTTCATGGTCACCCGAGCGCAAGTCATGTATCCCTTCCGCCGCTGGGTACAGGAACTGCTCGCTTAGAGCGTGCTAGCCACCGATATGGACAGCGCTCAACATTGCGCCGCCGTCATCCTCAGCTTCGGCAGAGCCGCTCACGATTTCACGCGCTCCATGAGCTTCACGGAGATGACGGAGGTTGGCATAGAGGACGCCCTGACCTACCTAATCGAGAACCTCGCCACACAGTTCGGCCCACTCGGCGAGGAGTCGCGCCTCCAGGCAACCCGCGAACTCTTCGAGTGTTCGAAGAGACGCAACGAAGCCACCGACGCGCTGCTCGCGCGACTTCACACGCTGCGATTCCAGACTACGCACAACGGTGGAGCTGCGATGTCCTGGGGAATGCTACAGCTGGCTGCTACTCCGAGCGATCGGCGCCACAGCTAGCCAACTCATGACGCTGCTCCAGCTATGTGGCAACCGATACTCAACCAGAAGCCGAGTTCAACAGGCTCACGACTATGCTCCGGCGCGTGGGTCACATCGTGGAGCACGCACCGCACGACATCGCCAGCGTTTTTAAGTGCGCCGTCATCTTTCGGAGGTTTCGTGGGCATGACCAACGACAACAGCAATGACACGCATGGTCCCTGGCACACTCGCGGTCTCGATCCTTGGGCTTCCAGCGCCGCCAGGCTTCCTGGCGCAGGAGGTGCCATGAGCTACGCGACCAGTCCGTCGCAGAGCGCCGCGCCATCACGGGCGGACTATCTGGCCACAGCGTGGGCGCCCTCGAGCGGGCCGACTACGACTGCTGGACCTCGGACACAAGCTCGAACCCAGGCGGAGAGGTGAACTACCAAGCGCCAGAGCTCCAAGGGCTCAGCCGCTCAGCCCTGCCAAGATAGATGCCAAGTTGTTCTGGCAGATGAAGACAGCGAAGCGACATCGGCGCAGACACTCACAATGGCCTATTCGTAGATGGACGCAGGCTCATCCAGAAGAACAAGGCACAGACAAGAGTTCCCAGAAGCACGCGTTCCACATGGAGCTCCCAGATACCCAAGTAGATTCGGTTCTCTTCGGCGGAAAAGGCCAGGGCAATGGCAAACGCTCGCCAGGCAAAAGGTCAGAGCAGACGGTGCAACCCGCAAGGCTACGAGTGAACCGCCATGACTGGTATGTCTCTGTGCGTTCCATGTTGGGCCCCCCGAGAGTTGCCCGTGTTTTGCGGTTGCCAGCCGTGTGTCAGCAAGGTGCCGCGTCGAGATGCGTCGCCGCTCTGTGCGGCACCAGGCGCGCAGCTCCGCAGGGCGCGGGCGCGGGGTACCCCTTGCAGGACTCGCGCCCCCCGGCCGCCGCGCCGCTGGCCCTCGCTGTCGCGCAGCTCGTTGTGCCCCGCTGCCCGCTGGCGCCCGTGGCCTCGCCGCCTCCAAGAAAGGGCTCCAAGAGGCCCCCCCAAAGAAGGCCCCATGCCCAAGAGCCCAAGGTCGCGTTCTCGCATTTGCGGGTTCCCGACGCCCCGAGAAGACACGAGAGGCCTCCAACATCGCCCCAGGGCGGCCTAAACCCAAGAGGCCCCCAAGACGGTCCCAGAGGGCCCAGGAGAGGCCGCGGAGGGAGGACACGAGCAGACGCCCCAGGCCCTGCTCCTGGGCGAGAATTCGCTTTGCCCGGGGCATCCCTGCCAACTTCACGCGCTTCGCGGCGCAGCGCCTCGCGCAGCTCCCGATGGTTCCGCATTGAGCGGGGCCTTGCTAGGGGGCCACGGGTGCGCGTCGCGCCTGTCGCCACCTGGTCAACAAAGGGGGCCTGTCTGGAGCGTCTGGGAGGTGTCTTGGACCGTTTGGGAGGCCTTCTGCGGCGTATGGGGCGCGCACTTCGGCGCTCCGCGGCCCTCTTCGATCATCATTCACTGCCCGCCAAACCGCCCCAACCCAACCCGAAGGCCCCGATTTGCCCTCCGTCTCCAATGGGGGGGAGGGGGCCGGGGAACGTTGAAAACACACGTGTGGAACCCGACCCCCCCCCCAACCCGACATTCGCAGGCCTTCGGGTTGAGATGGGGGGGCCTGGCAGCTAGTCGGTCTTGAGGGCAAAGCCCCCCGCCGGTCCGGCCGCGTCCACGAGGCTGCCGCGACCCTGTCGCGGCCCGCCGCGCTGTGCCGCCGAGGGGCCCTCGCGGCGCCGCCCGGCGCAGCCGCCCAGCCCGCCCTCGCGCGACGCGCCGCCCCCGCCCGCGCCCCTGGCAAGAGCTGCGGTGTGCCAGGCCTGTCTGGGGACCACAGCGAAGGGAGGGGAGGGGGGAGAAGCAGGGAGGCAGGCTGGGAGGGAGGAGGGAGGAGGAGAGGGGAAGGAGGAGGAGGAGGAGGAGGAG